TGAGGGCGTGGCCTCTGTGAATGCCAGATACCATGATGACTTTAGCAGTAGAGCAGCTGCTCCTGTCCACAGCAGAACATTACTTTGCTCCAGTGCTGGTACTCCATCTACTGTAGTACTACACTGTAGTACTACACTGACTAAGTAGAAGTACCTCAAACTACCACACTTCGAAACATGTCTACTGTCCCTTTAATGTGAAATAAATGTATTAATGTTGAAATGATGCACATAACACCTTAATTTAAAGGATTCAATCAAGAAAAAAAACAAAGAAAACAAAACTCAATGTAAGAAATAAGACATTTACAGATTGTAAAATTGTTTAAATCTGGACTTGCATTGTCATTGATTGTTGTTCTCTTCTACTTAGTATTTATTATTTATTTGGTTTAGTTTGGTTTGGTTTTTGGGTCACTTAGTTTTGTGTCACTTAGTTATTTTTAGTCATTTATTGTCTGGAAGATGAAAGAAACATTTATATATATAAAGTTTATATATATACTGATGAATAAAAGACCTTTAAAAGAAGGTTTTAATACTAGTTTAGGGCACCAAAACATTGACTGAGATCTATTGATATTGTTGTAATATATGTTGTTCTGTCAGGTTGCACACATTTACCTCATGGTGGTTGGTTGTGATGGTTTCCTGAGACATATTGAAAGGTTTTTGTGTCTGTGTGTGTGTGTGTGTGTGTGTGTGTGTTTGTGTGTGTGTGTGTGTGTGTGTGTGTGTGTGAGTATTGGGCAGGAGGTTAGACTCAGTGTCTAGTATCTATTTAAGTCTGCTGCAGAAATAAACCAGCCCAACTCTTCATGTTTCAGTTGAATGCACACAAGTGGTCGGCTGACAGGAAGTCGTTAGAGCTCCGGCATTAATTACTTGTTTCTCCCTCAAACTCTGGTTCGTCCCAACAACAACAACAGGAAACTCGGTTATGGATCGACACGATTAATTCAGACAGAGAGAAAGAGGGAGAGGGAGAGAGAGAGAGAGATGATGACCGGTGGAAAAGATGATCCGGTTTAAGTGTGAACTACAGAGTGATGAAGAGGTGAGAGGAAGCGTAACGATGTGGAGGTTATGCTGCATTCATGTCTATTCATAAATGAGTTGACACCTGCGGTGATGATTCAGTATTGTTTATTATAACGATGTTGAACGATCATAATCTTTTTACAATAATGTCAAACTAACTGTGAGTACAGTTTTAATTATTGGTTAATGCGTGATAATGGAACACATTTTTAATATTTCATATGGGATTATACAAACATTTTTGTGATATATATATTCTGTATATTGATAACTGAACACATTTGTATGATAATTGTTATGATTTTTATATTATGTGGCAGCAAAGGTCACAAACATGAACTCGTTTACATTATAAATGTATCAAGTAAAGAAGCGGGTGGAGTTGGTTTCAGGTGCTTTAACAAACAGGGCTGAGTATTAATATGTATTTTAGTATTAATTATATGAAGTCAGAGGTCCGATCATGAGTCTGGTTTACTTCCTTTAGAAGGAAGTCTGCACTTCATAACATCTGTTATTCTGACCTGCTTTTGCTTCCCGCTCACGTTCTGGCATTTGTTTATTGTTTCTAGTTTATTTATTGTATATTTTCATTTAGTCTATTTAGTATAAATGTATGAATAAAGAAGCTTCTCGACGCTACAGTCTGAACATTTAACATAACTTCCGTGTCAGTGGGTGCTCCTGTTGCCTCACTTCCTCTAATGTGTAGTGAATGCATCGTTAGCGCGCCGCGACCTCTGACCTTCTCTGCCTCCTGCTGCTGCCGTCTCTTCTCCCCGGCAGCCGCCCTGCGCTGCTGCTCCTTCCTCTTCTGCACCTCCATCTTCCTCCCTCGCTCCTCAGCGGAGCGATCCAGCTGCTGCTGAGCGCGGCGGTCTTTATCCCGCAGCACCTCCGGCATCTCTGAGCACACGGGAGGTGGTACGTTAGTCTCCTATATGTCTTTTTCAGGGACATTTTCTACTTTTTCTACACTGAATTTCAGAGCTAAATGTAGTGCAGTATAAAGTATAATATGTACCTCTGAGATGTAGTACAGTATAAAGTACAACATGTACCTCTGAGATGTAGTACAGTATAAAGTACAACATGTACCTCTGAGAT